ACTTTACTAGTCTACTCTACTTTCACTGCCCAGCACCCCCATCATTCCATTTCCTCACTGCTGTCTCTCACCACCACCACCAACTCTCCGTTCCCGATCATCCACCTAACCCCCCAGCCTCCTTCTAAATCGTTCCCTCCCACTAACATTGGAGGTGTAGGATCTTCTCCTCCCTCCCGATCTGGTGGGCACAGGTGATTAGGCCGGTCCGATCCATGCTCCAGATCTCGTGTGGTCCTGGGTGATACCGACGCAGGCTCAATCGCCCCGTCAGCTGCGTCTTGGCCTCCGCTCCGACACTAAAAGCGGCCTGTTGTGCCTCCACGTCAAGCGCGCTCCTCGAGTCCGACGCCCGCCCTCTGCGTGCCGGATAGTCGACACGACGGTCTTTTGCCTTTCTCGCTCGACGTCTCTCTTTTCTGACCTCCCAATTTACCTTCAGTGTGCTATATAGTCGTGCTCTCTATCCTTAACCCCCTCTTTTCCGTCTCTCACCGACTTTGAGGAGTCCCGTTATCGGCGACTTCGTAACCACGACATGATGATGGCGCAAACGTTTCCTGCCCATCAAGGCATCCCACAGCATCCCGGTTTGCCTCCAGGTCATCCAATGGCTCCCGGTCAACATCCTAATGCTCATCCCGGTGCTGGCATGGTCCAGCAGGTGCATCCCGGAGTGTCGGCACCAGGAGGTCCTCAGGTTAGTCAAGGCGGACCGGTGATGGGTGGGATGCCTCCGGGCGCTGGCACAACTGGTCCGGGGGGTGCTGTACAGGCTCATGCCCTCTCGCATCTTGGCCCTGCTCAAGCGCACATGTTCCAACAGCCGCATTTTGCACAACAATGTATGTTTCCCAGAGTCTTTTCCCAGGGCGACCCCCTTTCCGCTGTCGTCCTGCACGGTTTATCCTCATTGCTTTTTTCCCCGTTTGTGTCGTTCCTTTCCTCATGTAATAGCGTGCTAACCTATGCATCACTTAGTTGCCAACAACCCTCAACTCCTGCAGCAGCACCAGCAACAGCAATATCTCAGGCAGCGTATGATGCTTCAACATCAACAGCAACAGCAACAGCAACAGCACGGCGGGTTACCAGTGCAGCTACCGAACGGGGCACCCGCCCTCAATGCAGCCCAGATCGCTGCCATGCAGGCAAATCCTGCTATGCGCCCGGTTAATTTGCAAATGCAACTTCAACAAATGCCCCATGGACAGCCGCAAAATCTTCAGCAGCAACAACAATTTTTTGCTATGCAACAAGCCCAGCAACAAGCGCACCAGGCTCAGATCCAACAGGCGGCTGCCGCAGGGCAGCCCGGCCAGCAGACGCCCCAGCAGCGTGCAGCGGCACAACCCCAGAACGTGCACGATGCCCAGAGTGTCACTCCTCAACCTCAGCCGGGACCGCCGCCACACCAGGGCAGTGCCACCCCTCAACCCAATCCTCCGCCGGTACCTACCTCACAACCACCGCAACAGCAGCCGGCAGCTCCTCAGCCGCAACCTACGCCCAATCCACCTCCGCAACAGCTGCCGCAGGCTCAGCAACCGGGTCAGCAACCACAAGCGCCGCAAGCTGCCCAAGCCCAACCTCAACCTCAACCTAACCAGCAGGGTCCACAGCAGGGTCAACAACAGCCACCGATGACTGCCCAGGAAGCCCAGATCAAGGCGCAACAGCAGCAAAATCCGACCGCCATGATGATGCAACAGCAACAGCAACGGATGAACATGAAAGGCGCTGCCATCCTGCAGCTCAATTTGTTTGCCGAAAGCCTCAGCTACATCTCCGTATGTCAAATTGACATTTTTTGGCTCATTATGTCCTCCTGACCGAGTACTAACTGTTAACAGGGCACTGAAAACGCGAGCACCGATTACAACCAATGGCACAACTTTGTGCTCAGATTCTATTCGCCAGGTGGTGTTCTTAGACATACCGTCTGTAACCCACAAGCAAATTCCTCCAAGCAGTTTGAAATCGCCACTCCTGCTTTGGCGCGCTATTACTTGACCCAGTGTACGAGTGGGATCAAGCATATACAGATGTTGGTTGATGGAGCGCGGGAGAGGGATTCGCCGAACGGAGGCCACATAGTTGAGAGTGCGAAGACTGCTTTCATCTATTGGTTCGCAAATGGAAGTCAGGTATGCATGCGCGGCCCTTATTCTTTCTATTATACGCTGTTATATTGACGTGGACTAGCTATTTGCGCGCGCCAACATGACGGCTCATTTCGATATGAACAACAAGATTGAGATGCTCGATATCGCGGTACTGGACCATAACGAATACCTGCCTAGGAGTCAGCTACAGGCTCTGGAGCTGGCCGATCAACAGAAACAAAGTCCCAAGGTGTCCAAGAATATGGGAAAACGCGCACAGGCCAAGCAAGCACAACAGCCTGCATTTACCTTGCCCGAATCCATGGTTACTCCGAATGGCGTCCCCACGGCTGTGATGAGTTTCCTTGAGGTGAGCCCTTCCACGTAATCGTTATGAAAGTATTTCTCTGACACTCCTGCGCTATAGGTTGCGGAAACCATCTCTCACATGCAAGTCCTATTCCAATTCTCCCAGCAAAATCCCCACTTAACACCTTCCGAAGCCCTGCGGACTCTGGTGAACACGATGCAGGCGCCGCCTCCCAATGCAGCTTATACGCAGGGTCCCATGAACCCGGCCCTACAGCAAGGCCAGCCACGGGCTCCCAGTATGAGCATGCCTAACCAATTTGCATCTCCTGCCATGACTCATCTCGGCCTGCCGGGCGCTCAGGGCTCGCCTCATCTAACCGGCTCCGCGCATCCCAGTCCCGCCCAGAGTCACCTCGCAGGACCGCCGGGAATGGTTCCCCAGGGTCAAGTACAAGGCAATATGGCACAGGGGACCAGTGCAAGCGCAAGTCCCAATGTGGGCAACAAGCGCCGTCGGGCTAGCACCGTGAAGATGGAGAACGATGACAACGGCGGCGAGGTTAATGGGACAACCGGCCAAGCTGCCCCTAAAGTCAAGGCCAGTCCTCGAGTAGGGGCCAAAAAGCAGAAGGGGGGTGGTTAAGTTGTCTACCTCGATCAGCCAGTAATATTGTCTGCCGCTGGTTTGAGTGTGCTCGTGTCTTCTCTTTTTCTACTTCTGAACTCTTTTCTCTTTCAGTCTCACTCGGCGGGAATATGGCGTACCTTTAGGATACCTATGTGCGAGGCTCTACTTCTGCGTTCCGAACCATCTGCGGGATTCCTGTTATATGTTGAACATAGCTGCCGATTGCGTTCCCCTTTGATGTCTCATGCGAAAGATGGAGATGCGTGTTATGTGGATTTGCGTTGGGCTTACTGATTTTGCCGTATTTCTTGACTGATGTCCCTATCTGCATGTGCTGTGCCGCGCGGGGATTGAGGTGCGGTTGTCACATCCTGAAGTTGAGCGTTGCAGGATTTTTGATATCCACGTTTTTATCATGGGCGATTGAAGTGCTCCGGCGTCCGGTTCTACCTCCCTGGAAATAATTCTGTGTTGATAGTTGCTGCCGTTACTATTGTTACTACTGTACGTGTGGAAGAGCAATGCATTTCCTACTATTATTGCTACTACTTTTTCTCTTTTTTCTTTCATTTTCAAATAATATGTGGTACCGAACATCCGACTACTAGTTTGGCGGGGACTCTCCACTAAATACTGCGCCTGGCATCGGCATCGGCAGTCTCCGGCCTGGGGCTCCCCTCCCAATGTGAGTGACCCCTCCATCCACTACTACTACTTTCTTTCCTTCTCTTTCCTCCCTCCACTTTCTCTTCTTTCTGTTCATACTTCATTTACCATCCCTCAAAATATCTCACCATGTCTCACTCCCACTCTCACGACAACGACGTCAGCCACTCCCACGATGACTTCGGTGGTCACGGCCACTCCCACGAGATCCTCGACGGCCCCGGTTCATACATAAACCGCGAGATGCCTCTCTCGGAGGAGCGTGACTGGAAGGACCGTGCCTTTACCATTGGCATTGGAGGGTAAGTTACCCTCACACTCATCTTCAGATTCCATCTAACTCATCCATGTAGACCCGTCGGATCGGGCAAAACCGCCCTCATGCTGGCCCTCTGCCAGGCCCTCCGCGACGAGTACAACATCGCCGCCGTCACCAACGACATCTTCACCAGGTATACAACCGCTTCTTTCTCCCCACCAAATTCCCCCCTCAAATACCCACAGTAATCAACAACTAACCCAATCCCCTTTTCCACCATGAACAGAGAAGACGCCGAATTCCTCACCCGCCACAAAGCCCTCTCCCCGTCCCGCATCCGCGCCATCGAAACCGGCGGCTGCCCTCACGCCGCCGTCCGCGAAGACATCAGCGCCAACCTCCTAGCCCTGCAATCCCTGCACAGACAATTCCAGACCGACCTCCTCCTCATCGAATCCGGCGGCGACAACCTCGCCGCTAACTACAGTCGCGAGCTGGCTGACTTCATTATCTACGTGATTGATGTCGCTGGTGGTGATAAGGTGCCCCGCAAGGGTGGACCCGGTATCACGGGCTCAGATCTGCTGGTTGTGAACAAGATCGATCTGGCTGAGGCCGTCGGTGCGGATTTGGCGGTTATGGAGAGGGATGCGGCTAAGATGAGAGAGGGTGGGCCGACGGTGTTTGCTGTGGTTAAGAGTGGGACGAGAGTCCAGGATATTGTTAATCTGATTTTGAGTGCTTGGAAGGCGAGTGGTGCGTATGAACATAGTTTGGCGAGGTGGAAGGCTGGTGCGAAGAGGGGGTCTGGGAGTGTGGATGATGCGTGATTCATTTAAGTGAGTTTATATGAAAAGAAAATTTCATTTATTTGGTTCGTGTTCGATTGTTTCTTATTCATTGGTGAAGAAGGTTGGCGGTCTATCGTGAAACTTTTGATTTGATATACATACATTCCCAACATGTCCGGTTTTTGTATCTCACCCCAACAAACGCCCTTATAATGCAGACAAACAGACGCACACCAGTTGCTCGAAAGAAGGATCGTGACACACAGACGATAATAAAGATTGGGGGAAGAGAGAAAGGAAACAGAGAAATCCTCTCGCGCGATGGTTAGATAGTTAAAGCAGGGTATCTGAAAGTCGTCCTCCAGCAGTAGCAGCAGAACGACAAGAAGAATACTAAACACAAGTGCACTCGTCCTCGACAGAAGAGGAAGAAGATTAAATCTCCTTCTTGGCGAATCTCGCCAGCGCGGGACCCAAATTCTCCCTCTCGGAGCGCAACTTTTCCTTGTGCCGGGCAGCATGCTCCTTGCGCAACATCTCGGCCTTGACGCGCTTGTCGTCGATGACATTGCGCCGACCCTTCTTGCGCAAGTACTTGCGCAGCGCACTGTTGCGACCCCGACCACGGTTCTTGAGCTTCTCCATGGGGTCCTCGGGTCTGCGATCGAGATCGCGTTCCTCGCGGTTCTTCTTGTCGCTGATCGTGTTGAGCTTTCCGACGAAGTTGGGATCCAGTGAAATCATCTCCGGTTGCAGCTTGTTCAGCAGACCGCGCACCTCGGCTTCCTGGCGCTGCTTGGTGTTCTCGTACGGGTTGGCCTCCAGGGCGTCGAAGTTGGGTTCACCGGCGCCGGGGACGATGATGCTGGCGAAGCCTTGGTCGTGGCCCACACCGAGAACATCTTCGAAGGGGCACCAGCGCATGTTCTCGATACGTTGGCCGTCGCCGCCCCAGGCCATATACGGGCTCTGTACCTTACCTTGGTCGGCGGCCGCGGCGTCGAAGAGACCCCGCCATACGCTGACTTGCGTGCCCCAACCCACAGCTGTGAGATTCCGGTCGCTGATGGAGACGGAGGCGCCCGGTTGGTAGCACGAGTAGCTGTGTACTTCGCGGAACATGCGGATGTCCCAGACGTTCATCTTTTGGTCTTGGCCGGTCGATACCATGTACCGGCCTTGGCGGTCAATAGCCATCGAGCGGACGGGGCCGCGGTGGACAAGGGCCTTCACGAGCGCGGTTTGTGAGTTGGGAGACCAGAGAGTCACTGTGCCGTTCTGGTGGCCGACGTGTAGGATGGCGTTCCATGGGTTCTGGGCGAGGGAGGTGGGAGCACCGAGGCGGGTGGGCAGCTCGGCGACCATTTGACCGGTTGAGGTGTCGGTGTATTTGAGGTAGCCGCTCATTTGCTATGAAGATATGATCAGTATGAGTTCTGTCTGTGGTTATATATTGGGAAGCAGGTGAACTCACGGCGCTCGCAAGAAGGAAGTGGTAGGGCAGGAATTCAAGGAAAAGAGGCTCGAGATGCTTGTTCAGACAGTGCAGTTCCACACCGGCATGGTCGTAGATATAGACAGATCTTTTCTGCGCCACGGCGAAGAACTGATTGTTGTGCAGCCACCGAGCATCGCGCACAGTCTCGTTCAACTGCAACTCGCATCCCAGCTTTCCATTCCGCCAGTCCATCGTCGCCACATGCCCTTTGCGCCCGGCCAACAGCAATTCGCGACCATTCCTTGTGTAATCCATCCGGTAGGGTCCCATATCGGTCAACTTGAGCTCGAATCCCTTCTTGGCCGTTTCGATGCCGACACTTTCGCGAATCTCATCCTGTCGAACTTTGTACGTCCTTTCCAGCTCTGCCTCGGGCTCGAGGAATCCGGCATCGTGCTCGAGCAAAATCTCCGCATCCTTGGCCTTCAGGGCTGCCTCCTTGTACTTGTCTTCCACGGCTTTGAGGTTGCTGCGCAGTTTCTTGTCGCGAACGCTGTGGGTGTGGATGGATTTACCCCGGCCGTAGGTCTTTTGCGCTTCCATCACTCTTTTGCTTTCTTTGCGCTTGTTGTCGGCCGGCGCAACGGCCGTCGTTGTTGGTCCCGCCATGGGGGTGGTGTCTCAATAAGGAGGTAGTAAGATATGAGGGATTAGGAAGAAGTCCAATAAGAGAACTCGTTTGAGTCGGCGAATACTGCAAATGTCGTACAGTCAATAAAAGTCAGAGCAGTAGACGGAGGCTCATCGGCAGCTTTTTCTGCGGGTCAAAAGATGAAAATCCGTGCCGAGCGGCTTTGCTTTCCTCGCTTGTTCCTCCACCGCCTAATTTTTTCCTCTCCAACCGCCGCCGGAGTATCAGGTCCAGATCCCTCTAGAGGCCACTCTCTTTATTGTTTGTGATCTCTGGTATTTAGGTGTATCGCTTTATTCTCGCTCTTCTAATCTTTCACGCTGGCCTCTCTTCCGTACCGATTCAAAGGGTCCAGTGGTGCCAACATGGCGCCCACCCAGACGGTGCAGCATCACCACCGCTCCACAACCAAATCCTCCAATAAACCATACAAGTCTCGCCATGCCTCCAAGAGTGCGCTGAAGGACAAGGCCAAGGGTACGTGCGCCTGAGAACTCTTCCTGTGTCTGTTTTCTTGAAATAGCATCATAGACTGACATACATCCAGGCAAGGTCGAAGGACAAGAGCGGGGCACCCGCAAGACCCCTCACCAGCAGCTCAAATCCAAACTCGATCGCCGGAACCAGGCTCGTCAGAAGCAGCAATTGAAGCATCAGGAGAAGGCACAGTCCGTCAGCATTTTCACCGGTCAGAACGGTGCCCCGCGTCATGTGGCCGTTGTGCCGCTTTCCGTTGACATCGATGTGGCTGCCATCATCCGCGCCCTGAACGAGAGTGTCGATGTTTCCGCGGAGATTTCCCCAGACTCCGCCACTAGGGTCCGTGTCGATCGCTTCCGCCAGAGCTTGCAGTATATTCCGGCGAAATATGACTTGATGAACGCTATGGATGTGTGCCGGATGGCCGATTTCGTGGTCCTGGCGCTCTCCGCCCAAGTCGAAGTGGAGGAACAAGGAGAGCTGTTGCTGCGGTCCATTGAGGGTCAGGGTATCTCGAACGTCATTGCCATGGTTCAGGTAAGTTCGGGTTCCTCGCATATGGCAATGGTTACTCTTCTCACTGACTGTGTTTCGTGTAGGGTTTGGATCAGATCAACCCGGCCAAGAAGCGCCCGCAGGTGGCGGCTTCTCTTAAGTCTTTCGCCAACCACTTTTTCCCCTCTGTCGAAAAGGTCCTCTCGGTGGACTCTCGCCAGGAGTGTTCCAACGCCATCCGTTCCCTCTGCACAGCTACACCCAAGGGTATCCGCTGGCGTGACGAGCGCAGCTGGATGTTCGTCGAAAACGTTCAGTGGCCTGAAACCAACGCGGAGGAGGTCGATGATGTTGTGGTAACCGGTGTTGTCCGCGGCAAGGGCCTGAAGGCGGACCGTCTGGTTCATATTCCTGGATGGGGTGACTTCCAGATTGGTGCCATCACCGCAGCACCACTTGCGACTTCCCGCGGGAAGCGTGACGATGCTATGAATGTCGATGAGACTGAAGCTCCCCAGCTGTTGGATGGACCTTCTGCGGACTGCGATGATTTGGCCACTGTGGCACCAGAGGAGATTGAGATGGAAGATGACGAATTCCCTGTTGAGGAAGAGCGCAAGGGTGTGCTCCTCGACGACCACCACTACTTCTCCGATGACGATTCTCACATCCCCCCGAAGCCCAAGAGGCTACCCAAGGGTACCTCGGAGTACCAGTCCGCTTGGTTCTTGGATGACGTGTCGGACTCTGGCTCTGACCTTGAGGAAGAGGATGAAGTTGAAGAGATGGAGATGGACACCGCGGGAGCGCCCGAAGACGGTGTCTTCCCCGATAACAGGGATGCCATGACGGAGGCTGGCCCATCGGAGTATCCCCAGTCAGAGATGTTCGTCGACCCGTCACCAGAAGACGAGGCCAAAGACCTGGAGGATTTCCGTGCGAGCCGCAGAAAGGAGGCTAACGAAGATTTGGAGTTCCCTGACGAAATCGAGCTTCACCCTAACGTTCTCGCTCGGGAGCGTCTGGCCCGCTTCAGAGGTCTCAAGAGCTTCAAGACCAGCCCCTGGGAGACATCAGAAGACCGTCCCCACGAGCCGGAGGACTGGCGCCGCCTGCTCCAGTTCGCGGACTACAAGGGTTCCAGGAACAAGTTCCTCCGCGAGGCTCTCGTCGGAGGTGTCAACCCTGGTGTGCGTGTCGATGTGCACCTCAAGGCAGTGCCAGCAACCCTCCGCAGCCGGCCCCAGCCCACATCCCTCTTCTCTCTGCTCCGTCACGAGCACAAGCACACTGTTGTCAACATCAACATGCACCTGAACTCCAGCGTCGAGGAGCCCCTGAAGTCGAAGGAGCAGCTCGTCGTCCAATGCGGTCCTCGCCGTCTGGTCGTCAACCCCATCTTCTCCGCCGGCGACAACACCCCCAACAACGTGCACAAGTTCGACCGCTTCCTCCACCCAGGCCGCAGCGCCGTCGCCTCCTGGATCGGTCCTTTGACCTGGGGCGCCGTGCCCGTCCTTGTCTTCAAGAACAAGACCAACCAGGACCCCGAAGTTATGGACTCCGCCGACGACGACTCCCTCAACAACTTCGACAACCTCGAACTCATCGGAAACGGCACCATCGTGGCCCCCGACCAGTCCCGCGTTGTCGCCAAGCGCGCCATCCTCACCGGCCACCCTTACAAGATCCACAAGCGTGTCGTCACCGTCCGCTACATGTTCTTCAACCCCGAGGACATCCAGTGGTTCAAGGCTCTCCAGCTCTGGACCAGACGCGGCCGCAGCGGTTACATCAAGGAATCCCTCGGTACGCACGGTTACTTCAAGGCTACCTTCGACGCCAAGATCAACCCCCAGGACTCCATCGGTATCAGTCTGTACAAGCGGGTTTTCCCTCGCAAGGCTCGCGCTCTGGAGGATGTGGTCTATTGAAGATGATATTGGAGCTCGTATTGTGCCGTTGTTTGTTCGCGCTTGCTTTGGGAAGCCGTTTTGGATATGGCACGGCATGGCATGCAGGAACGATATAGAGATATTTTACTTACATACATTACATACTTCCCATACTTACTCATGATACCACAAAAGTTCGCTTCGGCATGAATTGATGAACTGTTATTGATTATGATTATCATTTGTTGACGAGTGGTTCGATAAATAGATAGATGGATACAGTCGGCTTGAATTTAGTACCTGGTTAGATTTGACTTGAGTGGTGCAACTTGTCTCGTCTATTCAATTTACTCCCTAAACTAAGCATGTGATACAGTACATTATCAGTAGCCTAGCTACAATACCAGTAAACGTAATCAGGCGACACTTTTGTTCTCGATTCACGAACATCGATAGTATCTGTCAGTAAGGCATGCCACGCATCCATCGGCACGTGCAACCTATGCCAATAGCTATAGTTATGATAGAACAGGACAGGACAAGAAAGACAGACAAGCCAATGACACAATATATCTTTGCACGAAAGGAAAACAAACCGCAAGCAATTATACGACGGCACAGCATCCATCTACCTATGGGACCAGCCAACGGGGTAAGGGTAGGGGACACAGTTATATAGTCTGCCCAATTAACTAATCCACCAAGAACAAGAACGAGCGAATGGATGAACAGATCGGAAGCAAAACAGAGAAAACAATGATATTGTTGCTGGGAATAGAAGAGAATAGAATAGAATAAGTCTAAGAGAAATCCTCGCCCTGCTCCTCGATACTGTTCTTGATCCGCAACAGAAGAGTCGTCTTCCACTTGTCCAACTTGCTGAGCTGGTCGAATTGGAATAGCTTGTCGGCGAATGCTTCCTGGTCGCCGGCTTCGATGGTCTGGACCAGGTCAACGAGGAGCTGGTGCTCTCTTGTCGAGGCGAAGGTGGTGTCGATGTCGCGGTAGTTCTCGAGGGCTCTGTTGGCGGCAACCAGGTCCTGTGTGTGGTTAGTCTTGTCTGAAAGGTTTAAATGAGAGGGACAGCCGTACATTGGTCGCCAAGTGGCAGATGCCGGCCTTCAGGAAGTAGTCCTTGACGGACCACTTCATCAGGTTGTTGTTGATCGATGAGCGGCCGATCCGCTCGTAGTGCTCGATAGCCTTGTAGTAGTCGCCTTCGAGAGCGGCCAGATCTGCTGCCTTCAGGTAGTGCTTGTTCGCAAGACTGGAGAACAACACATCAAGTTAGATTTGTATATGAGAAGGCCGAGGATGGACGTACGCTTCAGCATTGTCACCGTCGAACCACTCCGCCGCTTTCTCGTAGGCTTCCAGCGCCTTCTTCGTATCTCCAAGCTCCACCTCGTACACCTCGGCCAGATGTTGCTGTTGCGTGGCCGCGCGCCGGAGGTTACCCTTTAGCACGTAGTGTTGGATAGCACTGGAGAGCACGCGAGCGGCGTCCTCGGGGTCGGATTTGCGGTAGACCTTGAACGCTTCGGTCAGGGTGTTTGCTGCATCATCGGGCTCGTTGAGGTTCTGGGTCTGGATAGAGGCAGCCTTTTCGAAGGCAAGACCGGCCTCCTTGTCTGATCGTTTGGCGATGGGTTAGCGCTCGTTGATCTGAGACAGGGGAGAGAATCACAGGCTTACTCTGCTTCTGCACTCGGAAGGCGTTCGCAGCTTGTGTGTAGAGATCAGCTGCATTCTCGTACTTCTCTGTCCTTCCACCGAAGAAGCTGAAGCCACCAGATGCGCTGCTGAGCGCTTTGTCGGCCTAATGTACGTCATGGGAGTTAGCGATCGTCGTATTCCAAGCATAGCGATAATGGACAGCGGGGTTCGGGGGGGATTACTCGTTGGAGCAAAACTCGGGGATCTTGGGCCATTTTGTGAAGAGGTTGTCGGCCCGAGAATGTGAAGAGGAGAGTGATGCTAGAGGTCAGATTGCAGGCAAAGAGAAGTGGGGATGAAAGTCTGGAAGTTGAGGAGAAACGATGGGAGGATGGATCTAGTTTACTGGGCAGCCTCGCGGAATGGCGAGCTCCCCGCCGCTCCGTCAACGTAGGCGGTGGCCACTTTCCGCCCGGTCCATTGGACGTGCTTCTTTTCTTGCTTCTCTGTTAGTATTTCTATAGCATCTCGACTGTCGCAAACGGAAGCAGTTCCTTCAATTGCTCGTTCCTTTTATTGTTTATCTATTAAGTATATATTC